CTCCTTCAGCGGCCGGACGAGATCCGGACCCATGTAGACGGCTTTTACAGAGAACTATTCTCTGCGTCCCCTCGGGGAGGTCTTGCCTTAGCGCAAGACATTTGGCCTGCCCACTGCTGCGTTACGCCTATGGACAACGTGGCCCTCACGGCCCCGTTCTCCGAGGCTGAAGTATGGGAGGCAATAAAGGGCATGAACCCATCTTCGGCCCCTGGGCCGGATGGATTCGCAGTCAAGTTCTTCCAGACCTTTTGGGAGGTGATCAAACAGGAGGTGATGGCCCTGTTTGACGAGTTCTTTGTTGGGTCCATTGACCTCAACCGGCTGAACTACGGGGTAATCACGCTCATCCCCAAGGTGGCTGGGGCGTCCGACATTCATCAATTTCGGCCGATTACGGTGATTAATGTCATCTTCCGCATCCTTGCCAAGGGGTACGCCATTAGGGCGGCTCCTATCGTCGACCGGATCACCCACCCGGACCAGTCAGCCTTTATTCAGGGCCGTTATATCCTTGATGGAGTCTTGGTGTTCCATGAAGCGCTCCATGAGGTGCACTCCAAACACCTCAAGGCAGTCTTCCTGAAACTGGATTTCCACAAGGCCTACGACACGGTCAGTTGGACCTTCCTTTGGGAATGTCTTCTCCATAAGGGCTTCGACGACCGGTGGGTTGAAGGAAATATGCCCTAGAGGCAATAATAAAGTTATTATTTATTTCCTTATTTCATGATAAATGTTTATTATTTATGCTAGAATTATATTAACCGGGAACATAATACATGTGTGAATACATAGACAAATAAAGTGTCACTAGTATGCCTCTACTTGACTAGCTCGTTAATCAAAGATGGTTATGTTTCCTAACCATGGACAAAGAGTTGTTATTTGATTAACAGGATCACATCATTAGGAGAATGATGTGATTGACATGACCCATTCCATTAGCTTAGCACCCGATCGTTTAGTATGTTGCTATTGCCTTCTTCATGACTTATACATGTTCCTATGACTATGAGATTATGCAACTCCCGTTTGCCGGAGGAACACTTTGTGTGCTACCAAACATCACAACGTAACTGGGTGATTACAAAGGAGCTCTACAGGTGTCTCCAAAGGTACATGTTGGGTTGGCGTATTTCGAGATTAGGATTTGTCACTCCGATTGTCGGAGAGGTATCTCTGGGCCCTCTCGGTAATGCACATCACATAAGCCTTGCAAGCATTGCAACTAATGAGTTAGTTGCGAGATGATGTATTACGAAACGAGTAAAGAGACTTGCCGGTAACGAGATTGAACTAGGTATTGAGATACCGACGATCGAATCTCGGGCAAGTAACATACCGATGATAAAGGGAACAACGTATGTTGTTATGCGGTTTGACCGATAAAGATCTTCGTAGAATATGTGGGAGCCAATATGAGCATCCAGGTTTCGCTATTGGTTATTGACTGGAGACGTGTCTCGGTCATGTCTACATTGTTCTCGAACCCGTAGGGTCTGCACGCTTAAGGTTTCGATGACAGTTATATTATGAGTTTATGAGTTTTGATGTACCGAAGTTAGTTCGGAGTCCCGGATGTGATCACGGACATGACGAGGAGTCTCGAAATGGTTGAGACATAAAGATTGATATATTGGAAGCCTATGTTTGGACATCGGAAGTGTTCCGGGTGAAATCGGCATTTTACCGGAGTACCGGGAGGTTACCGGAACCCCCCGATAACCTAATGGGCGTTAATGGGCCTAGTGGAGGAAGAGGAGAGGAGGCCTAGGGGCTGCCGCGCACCCCTCCCGCCAAGTCCGAATTGGACAAGGAGGGGGCGTTGCCCCCCTTTCCTTTCTTCCCTCTCCTCCTTCCCCAAGTCCTAATCCAACTAGGGAAAAGGGAGGGGAGTCCTACTCCCGGTAGGAGTAGGACTCCTCCTGTGCGCCTCCTCCTAGGGCCGGCCGCACCCCCCCCCTTGGCTCCTTTATATACGAGGGCAGGGGACACCCCTAGACACACAAGTTGATCTTCGTGATCGTTCTCTTAGCCGTGTGCGGTGCCTCCCTCCACCATAATCCTCGATAATATTGTAGCGGTGCTTAGGCGAAGCCCTGCGACGGTAGAACATCAAGATCGTCACCACGCCGTCGTGCTGACGGAACTCTTCCCCGACACTTTGCTGGATCGGAGTCCGGGGATCGTCATCGAGCTGAACGTGTGCTAGAACTCGGAGGTGCCGTAGTTTCGGTGCTTGATCGGTCGGGTCGCGGAGACGTACGACTACATCAACCGCGTTGTCATAATGCTTCTGCTTTCGGTCTACAAGGGTACGTGGACAACACTCTCCCCTCTCGTTGCTATGCATCACCATGATCTTGCGTGTGCGTAGGAAATTTTTGAAATTACTACGTTCCCCAACATGGGTGACTAGGGTGATGCAGATGGTGTCCTCGGGGCGCACCGCGGTTAACATTAATGGGGAGATCGGCCCTTTTTTCCCCACATTTTGTGGGGTTCGTCAGGGTGACCCCTTCTCTCCGTTCCTATTTAACATGGTGGTAGATGCCCTGGCGGCCATCCTTGAAAGGGCCAAGGCGGCTGGCCACATTAAGGGAATAGTTCCACATCTGGTTGGGGGGAACGGTGTATCCCTCCTCCAATATGCGGATGACACCATTATCATGGTGGAGGGCTCGGAGAGTGATATCGCCAACCTCAAGTTCCTCCTGCTGTGCTTCCAGCAAATGGACGGCCTGAAGATCAACTTCGACAAGAGTGAGGTGATGGTCTTGGGCTACACCCAGGAAGAGCGCCAGAGCATTGCGGATCGGCTTAACTGCCACCTCGGGTGCTTCCCCACGACTTACCTGGGGATCCCCATTAGCGACTCCAGGCTTACGGTGGCCGAGCTGCGCGCCACGGTGGGGAAGCTTCAGCACCGGATCGAACCCTGGCAGGGTAGATGGCTCTCGAAAGCAGCCCGAACTGTGCTCATTAACTCCTCCCTCTCCAGCCTACTGTTATTCATCATGAGCTTCTACAGCCTCCCCGAGACCCTCCATCACGAGATTGCCACCGTTCAGGGGCGTTTCTACTGGGCCGGCGAGGGTGATAAGCAGAAGTACCACATGGTCAAGTGGTCGGAGATCTGCAAACCCCGCGACCAGGGCGATTTGGGTATCATGTCCTCCAAACGCATGAACATTGCCCTACTGACTAAGTGGCTATGGCGGATCGCTAATGGAGAAGGTGGATTGTAGCTCCGCATTATTCAGCAAAAATACCTCCACGGTCAGCCCCTCGCCTTCTGCCAGCGTTCTGGGGGATCACAGTTCTGGCAGTCCATCATCCAGCTCCTCCCTGTCCTTCAGATCAGAACCTCGATCGAGATTGGCTCCGGCACTGCCACCTTGTTCTGGTTTGACAGATGGGCGGGCGACTCGCCCCTTGCGGCCCGCTTCCCGAACCTCTTCTCCATCGCGGTCGCGCCACAGATCTCCGTGGCAACCGCCCTTACTGACCTAGGGCAACTTGCGTTTCGGAGACCTTTCAGTCCGGCTGAGATCGAGGACTGGCAAGAGCTGCTCGACTGCATAGCTCTTCACGAACCTGAACTCTCGACGGACGACGACCGTGCCAGATGGCGGTTAGAGCCATCTGGGCAATTCTCCACCAAATCTCTCTACCTCGCCATCGTCCCTTCGCTTGGTCACGAGGCGCTTTCCTCCATTTGGGAGATTCGCCTCCCCCTGAAGATTAGGATCTTCTTGTGGCAATGGATTCGTGGCCGCCTCCCTTCTGGTGTTGAGGTTCTGAAACGCAATGGCCTTGGAGACGGGCGCTGCCCGCTCTGTGGACCTGAAGAAGATTCGAACCATATCTTCTTCACCTGCATGTCCGCGCAGTTTCTCTGGAGCTGTTTCCGCGAGATTGTTGGTGGAAACTGGGACCATAACAATTTCCCCGCTCTCTTTGCCGAACTCCAGGCGATCCCTCCCGCGTTGCGCCACATTAGGTGGCTGACCATTGGGGTCCTGGCCTGGACGCTGTGGACTGTTAGGAATAAACTTCTGATTCAGCGTATTCCTCTTCGTCGTGCGACTGATGCTTTGTTCAAATGGTCTGGTTACTTGCAGCTTTGGCGGCCGCTTAGCCGGCCCAGGGAGAGAGACGCCATCACCTCCATCATCACCCAGCTCCGTGCGATGGCCCTTCGATTGACGCCGCCGCTTCCCCCACCTCCTCCGGAACCAGATTAGATCGTCATGTCGTCGACTCCGCCGCCACCTTCTGGGATTGTGTCTTCGTCCTTCTGTGTTAGGCGTGATGTGCTGTGCCCACAGCGGAACTTGGGTATTGTGTGTGTGTCTGTGCTTGTTGGTGTGGTTCCTGACTTGCGGTGACGTTGCGTTTGTGTGTGCGCTGTGTTCTGTTGTTACCTTGATACTTTGTGCTTGGTGGATGCTTTTATTTATAAAGCGGGATGAAAGCCTTTTTCGGCAACCCTCCAATAGCCTAGGGCTTCTGCTGCCATAAACCAGGGCTGGCTTGCGGTCCATCCCCACCCGGCGCAAAATCGGCAAGGGGAGCCTCTGCCGAGCGCGGCGGCGCTGCGATTTTTTCCAAACCGAGTCCGCCGGCGAGACGGCTAGTTCGCTTCGTAGCCTCACTGGAGACGAAGCGGAGCCGTGTCCGTATGCAAACTGGTCGGGGGGTGGGGGGCATATAATCTCCCTCTCTCCGAATACAGGGAAGGCGTCGATTTGGTTCACCAAATCGCCAAGCTACGACTCCTTCCGCAGCCTCGCGCCGGGCTCCGCCGCCACCCGGCCGGCACCACTCAGCAGCAGGTAAGATTACAGGCGACTGGGAATTTTGGGATGCAACTACAGTAGTGAATGTCAATCTCAGCATGACTAGGTTATTACTGAACATGGTTTATCAGTTTAGTCTGCGGCAGGTCATGCGGAAAATTGTCTAGCAGACGCCCTGCAAAAACAAGATCGACTATGATGTTGTCACCGGTCAAATGTACCGCTAAAAGAAGCAAATCCGAGCCTGTGATCCATAGTCTCCCGGAGGTAGGTCCAAGGACATTATTAAGTTCATTCAGTTCTGAATTAATCTGAAAATATCTTTTAGTGTCCTCATCTAGGTTTTTTCTTTTCAAACATTCAGTGTGTTCAGGGTAGTATTATGATTCTTCTAACTGGTACTGAATTTTCTATCTGTCCTGATCCAGGGTATTATGCATGACATAATATCAAGGCTGACACTGAAGGATGCTGTGAGGGCCAGTTTGGTGTCGACAAACTGGAGACGACTATGGACATGCCATTCTAATCTATGCTTTGACAGTCCCACGATCCTGAACCGCGAGTATGGCACCATTAGCAGGAGCAGCAGCAGGAGGGGCAGAAGAAGACGCAGGTTCATCAGGCGTGTCGATGCCATCCTGGAATCCCACAGCGGTACAGGGCTAAGAAGATTTGGTATCACGTTCGCTCTTGACGCGAGGCACACGGAACATCTGGATCGATGGCTCAAGTTCGCACTCGATTCCAGGGCATCTGAGATTGCTGTTAATTTGTTCCCTGTGTTCTACAAGGGTTTCGTGAGGTCATATGAATGGGAGGATGCATACACCTTGCCGTCTCATATGTTTAGCAGTCAAGGGGCATCTTACATCGAGTCACTTGAGCTCGTCTTTGCATCGTTGAAGCTACCCCGTGATTTCTATGGCCCTTTGAAGCTTAGAGTGTTGGATCTCCAATCTGTTCACGTGTCGGAAGGAGATCTCGAGCTGCTGTTGTCCAAGTGCAGTTCATTGGAGTGTTTGCGCCTGGGTCGTTGTTACCCAGTGCTTAATCTGAAAGTGCAGAAACCACTATGTCGGCTGCGTAATTTATCTGTCCGGGGATGTCAGCTGCAGGTTATGGAATTCAGTGCTCCGAATCTAGCAAAATTTGAGTATTCGGGTCAGGCCATACCCATTACACTCGGTGAATCCATGAAGCCAACAGAGGCTACTGTGACGCTCTTGGGATATGATGACACTCTTGAACATGTCTTCACTGAACTTCCAAAAACCCTGTCTCACGTGGAGACACTATCTGTGAACACTTGCATAAACACCGAGGTACTGTGCCGACCAGCATGATGCATGTTTCATTTCTATCTATGTAAAAAGAGTATGCCATGTAAATATCGTTTTATTGACCTTGTAGGTGGTTGGATTTTCAAATTGCCTGATGAAGTTCACTCATCTGATAAAACTGGAGGTGACTGTAAGTATTCTCGGGGACTCGAGAATCAGAAATGGGATTCTTCGTTTAGTGAGTCTTCTAGAGGTGGCCCCTCTTCTGCAAAGGCTCGAGTTAAATGCAAGCGCCCCTCTTGCTCTGATGCATGTCTCCTGTTTATCTTTTGAGACAAACGATGTTTGCTTAGTGCTTGTTGCATTTGATCCGCCGTAGTTTACACTGCACTGTAAGCTTATACTAGATTCGACTACATGGAACTGTAATTCGGATTTTTAAATTTGATTCAAATGGAGGATAACTCTAAGTTGCAGTCTCCAATGCTGCTTGTGTTGTTATCTAACTTCTGGCAACCCTTACATTTTCAGATGCTTCCACATGTCTCGGTAGGGTTTTCCAATGAGCCTGAAGCCTACTGGCATTTTCGGCCATGCGCCCATAGTCATCTTGAGCAGTTCGAGGTTTCAGGGTTTATCGGTCTAAGAAGTCAGCTTGAGGTGGTATTGTGCATCCTTGACAACGCAGTGGCTCTGAGGCGGATGTCCGTAGAACCGAGGGTGACGGCACATGATCGTGTCTTTGGACACTTGGCGGAGTTTGAGCTTGATATAAGAAGAGGCAGGGAATGTGCCTTGGACTTCTTTTCGCCCAAAGACTACCCCGGCGTGCAGATTGAGATTTTCTGAAGGACCTTTGGGTTTGGCTTCAGGTGCTGAAGGCCTGAAGGAGTGAAGCGCAACAAATAGGCAAGTGCGAGTTCCAGCACAGCCTTTCTGGCATCTTTGTTTGTTTATGTACATACTCTGGAGGCTTGTTGATCTAATAATGTGTAAGAAAAAACATCATATTTATTTACTTATGTTGAGGAAAGCTTGGTCGCATTTGTGCCAGCCATGTGTAATCTTGTCTACTAGGGAGAATGAAACTGGTTTACTGCAAGGGCCTGCTAGTTCAAGACACTCCCTCCGTTTCTTTACTCTGCTTATTACTACTTATTAGGAGAAGCCTTTGGCTGACAAATACTTTCATCCAAACTACGTTCATCCAAGCCATCTTTTTAGTTAAAAGGTACTGTCAAGCGAACTACGTTCATCCAAACCATCTTTTTAGTTAAAAGGTACTGTATCTTGCGTTGCACAGCAATAAAAATATAATCCTGCGATGGGACAGTGTGTCAACTTATTTATTTTGTTAACTTCGTATCAACTGTCAAGATTTTTTTTTAAACACAATGCAACGCAGATGCTCACACACGCACACGGCACACACACACTCTCCTATAAACGTACGTACGCACACCCTATCCCTATGAGCATATCCGAAATACTGAGCAGGCGGACATCTTGTGTTTCACGAAGCGACCTCGTGTGTCTTTGTAGTCGATGGGAACGTCTTCTCTCACTAAACAAACATCGCCGTGAAGCCTGAAATAAATCCAGAAAAATGTGAGGACCGGTGCCAAGTGTAGAACTTGAACCTTGATGGGCTGGTTTCACCACAAAGAACCTAACCATCTGAGCTACGCTCAGTTCGCTCAACTGTTGAAACTTGCCAACCAAGTCAAATGCATCAAGGACGAAGCAGATTGACTTCTAGTAAAGGATGATGAGATTAAGCATAGATGTCGAGAGTAATTTGACAAACGGTTCAATGAAGAGAATGAGAAGTCTATCATTTTTTTGATATGTATGAGAAGTCAACCATTGAGCTGAATGACTCATATGATAATACCAATAGATGTTTTGTGTAACGAATGCAAGAGTCTAAGGTCAGAGAGGTTGTAAAAATGATGAAATGAGGCAAGACGATGGGCCCTAATTGTATCTCCATTGATGTATGGAGAGACCTCGAAGAGATAGAGATAGTATGGTAACTAAGCTTTTCAATCTTATTTTTCAAACAAATAAGATGCCCGAAGAATGGAGTCGGAGTATATTAGTACCGGTCTTCAAGAACAAGGGGGAGTTCAATGTTGCACTAGTTAACATGTACTCCATCCGTCCCATAATGTAAGGCGTTTTTTAACACTAGTGTAGTGTCAAAAACTGTCTTATATTATGTGGCGGAGGGAGTAATTAAGCTGATGAACTATACAATGAAGCTATGGAAGAGATTGAGCACCGCTTAAGAAGATTTACAAGTATGACAAAAAGATCTGTTTGATTTCATGCTTGGGAGGCCGACCAGGGAAACCATTTTCTTGGTATGACAACCTATGGAGAGATACATGGAATAAAATGACATGCGATATTGACTTGAAGAAGGCCTACGATAAGATATCACGAAATGTTACCTTCATCAAGGACATGAGCGATAATGTCGAGGCAAGTGCTTGAACAAATGATGGTGACACTAGTAACTTCCTCATTAAAATAGGACTACATTAAGGGTCAACTTTGAGCCCTTATCTTTTTTGCGTTGGTGATGGATAGGGTCACAAATCCAAGATCTAGGGAGGGGGAGGCACTATTCATTCTTCATTCGAAACTCATGAATGTTGGGTTGGAGGTTTTTGCCTTGTTATCAAAAAAGGGAGTTGGGTAAAGCAAACTCCCTCCTTGGACGAGCCCGGGGCTTAGTCAAATAGAATGGGTTGCACTGCTTGGAAGAGAATATACAAGGAGGTATTTCATTGTATATGCTCTTTGTGGATGATGTGGTGCAAGTTGACATTACTCGGACAAGGGTTAATAAAAAATTTAAAGTTTGCGAAGACATATTTTGCAATCAAAAGGTTTTAGGTTTAGTAGAATCAAAACTTAGTACATAGAGGTGTGGTCGGTACTACTAGGCACGAGGGGTTAGTCTTGGTCGGCAGGTGGTACCTCAGAAGAACACCTTCCAATATTTGGGATCAATATTGCAGAAGGATGATGATATCGATGAAGACGTGAGCCATCGAATCAAATGTGGATGGATGAAATGGTGCCAAGCTTATGACGTTCTTTATGACAAGAGTGCCACAAAAGGTAAAAGACAAGTTTTATAGAATGATGATTCGACTTGCGATGTTGTATGGTGCTGGATTGTGGCCAACTAAACACCGACATATCCACCAGTTAGTTATAGCAGAGATGTGCATGGTGAGATGAATATGTGACCACACAAGAAAGGATCGTGTCTATAATAAAGATGTACATGCTAGAGTTAGGGTAGCACCAATTGAAGAGAAGATTTTCAATATCGACCGAAATGGTTTGGGCTGTGACAGAGCTCCAGTAAGAATTAAACAGGGGTTAAATGAGTCTTTGAGAGAGAGTTGAGGAGGCTAATTTAGCCTATCATGTCAAATTTAGCCTATACAATGATGAGTATATCAAGTATTATACGAAGAAGCTGAAAATAATTGGAGGGTCGTGGCCCCTCTCGGTCCTAACTAAGCTCTACCTCTAGGTTTAGGCATATACGACACAGATCTCCAAAAGCGCCAGCGCAAAGCGAGCGGTTAAAACATAACATGCTGATAGACTAGAGTGTGTTAAAAGAAATCTGGAGGATTGGAATATCACAAAATAACTAATCATGGACATGAGTGCATGAAAATTAGCTATCCACAAATCAAAACTCAGCCTACCACAATTTGTTTGGGACTAAAGAAGGCTTTATTGTTGTCGTTGTAATAGTATCAACTGTCAAGAACTTCATACTGCACGCACGAAGCTAAGTTAATGTGCGACAGTGATAAATGCTAAAATAAAGAGTGACGTTGCAAGAAAAAGCTGTGGAAGCTAGTAAGTAGGAAGTAAAAGCAGCAAAGACAAAAATAGGGCACCATTGGGTCATAGTTTCAGAAAAAAACCCAGGGATAAATCCTGCAGGCCGTTCAAGTAATACCCCTTCGTTTCAACAAGTCTAAGCGCAACCGCGACTACTCCAAGCATGGCACACGTGTTTTAACATGCCGCACCGCAGTTTGACCGTGTATGGCCACCCCTCACCCCTCACCCCGAAGGAACAAGGGCAGATCGTGCAAACTTCTCAGTTGTGATCCCTATGAACGAAATGAAGCAATGATAACAAGTAAAAAAGAGACTCCGGCTGCACATGCAGCAACCTCAGAGCTTATATACAAGTTTGTTGACCAATCATTTCTTCCTGACTTTTCCAGTAAACAGTAATTTGCAGAGGTTTACTTCTTCGCTCTCCTAGTATCCTTCTGATAGAAAGTGCCTGCGCGACGTGAGTCTACAACACAAAACACAGTATCAGAATACAACAGTAACAGGTGGCAACTGCAACTGAGGAAGGCTATCTGAGTTCATTCTCAAATATGGTAAAATGAATTGAACTTGGACTTCCATCAGATAACTGCAAAAGATGTATAAGACATATCAATAGCCATCTTACAGATTTCAATCAAATTTCAAACAGCCTCCTCCCTCCCCTATACAGCCACCACCCCCTTTCCCTCTCACGCAAGCCAGGACAGGGGCAACATTCCGGTGAGGCGACAAAGCTCCAGCAAGGCAGGTACCTCTCACTTCCTACTTTGGGAGTATGTTCTAATTTTGGTTTACTGTTGTGAAATAGATATAGTATCTAGTGAACTAGTGAAGCTATGCTCGATCCAATTGCCTCAAAGCTAAATCTGTATACTATACTTCAATCCTTAGGGCAGTTAATGCATTATGGCAACTGGAAGTAGTGGAACTCATGAATGAGGAGCTTCAGCTACAAACTCATGATCCTGCCAAAGCAGTTGCACATATCTTGCAGCGACACTTGGATTGATGATGTATTGAACAAACGTACAGAGTACTAGTGTATGTCCCAAGGTTAGTCCTTGATAATACCAAGGAGGGGTACTAGTGTGTGTCGAACGAAGCAGTTTGCAAACCCATGATCCTACTAGACCTGTTTGGAGTTGCTCCCTCCTTTTCATAATATAATAGAGTGCATTTTAGAAACTTGCTGAGGAGGGGTAGCGCAGGGGATTCCTTCCAGTTTAGTCCCTAATTGCTTACACAATCAACTTTGTAATTCACTTGCACGCCACACCCAGGCTCCTTGAAACAACCGCGACCAGTAAATCCCGTTTTCTCTCCAACATGCATGTGCTACACGCTAGACAAGGGTAATCCGTGCAAGCGTGCACATGCACTGGTATGATGAGCAGTAATTACTATGGTAAAAAGGGTAGCAGTATTTAATATGGTAAAAAGGGTAGCAGTAATTAAAGGAGGAGGAAACTGTTCTCATCTGTGAAGTGTTAGCATTGGGAAAATGTAATAGGGAGTACACATTCTAATATGAAATTCTGGAAGAAAAAAAAACTCACACACACACTGTTACGGAATGGAGGGAGTACTACATTTGCTTGGGTGAATACGGTAGTGCAACTGCTAAATTTAAATGCAAATTATTAAGGAAATAATGAAAATACTACAGAGCAGCTGCACATCTCTTGCAATGACACAAGTGTTAATGATGTCTTAAACAAACGGACAGAGTACTAGTGTACTTTTTGCACTAATTTGTTTCTTCCTTGATATGTAACTGATTCTGTTTGTTTATTTTTGCACAAAGGTATCAGTGGGATAAGTTGAACGACTCAGAGAGCTGAAAGCTGTGAAGGTCATGAAATTAGTACAATTTACCTTAGTTTAGAGGTGCGGCGCCTATCAGTGTTCGCACTCTGAGTCAGCCCAGGAGGTAATCCCTCTTCTTTACGATATCTGCTGCGAAA